TGCCAAATCTTCGGTTGATAGCTATACTTTTGACCCAACTGCATGCATGTCAAAACCAAATCTCTCTCTCTCTCTATCTATCTATATATATATATATATACACACACACAATGGAAGGTGATGTACGCTCTGATGCATGTTGTGATATTAGGAATATTCATGGGAGAAGACCGAATAAAAAAATTCATTAAACTGTCAATTTACTTGATGTTAAATATTACATTAATTTAAGATATTGTTTACTTTGAGTGAAGTGCATGTTAAATTCAAGAATAACTATTTGTATGATGCATGTTTGTCATAAGATGCATTGGAATTGATAATGGAATTAATGATTATGCTACATTATACATCTTTATAATGAAAGAAAACTTTAATTCATAAAGAAACTATGAAAACTTATTAAGAAAACAAAATCTTGAAAGGATATTAATATTCAAAAATAAGTTTTTTTCTTAAAACTACTAAATATAAATTTTGAGGCAACCCGAGTTTGACGAACAAAAATTCCAAAATATTCCTCAAGCTCAGAAAAACTTGTTTTGTATTTTGTTAAAAAAACGGCATATGTCACAGCATAGTGGTTGTCTTACACGTTGGATCGTTTTTAATAAAAAAAAATATATTTTATTGGATCAAAAATAGATACTTCAAAATCAGTCGAGAAGAATTGTCAATATGTCCCTTGACAGTCTAGCAAGCCGTAAAGGTTTTTGACAATCAATTATACAACGGTAGATCATAGAAAAAGTTTAATAAATAGTCAAATTAGTATAGTAGTGAAATTTAACATTTATGATATGATATCTATGGGAAATATAATATGAATCTAAACGTGGGCCCAATCCGAAATCAACAGCTCATTGCTGAACTAAAAACATGATAATCATCCTCCCTATGCAAGGTCAATAAAGGACTCTCTATACCCTCATTATGAGGAAACAATGAAGATATACGTAGATGAGGAAATTATTTAACATCAATAATTAGCTATGATATTATAAGAAAAAAAAAATTAGGTAAAACATTCATTCATCAAAATCATGTTTTTGAGAATATCATTGTAGAAAAAGATGTTTCTATTTATTTTTCCTTGCTGGGGATAGACAAGATATTTCATATGATGCCTACCACTCATGATTTTACATGATAGATTTAGGTTAACTTTACATCATTTTGACCCCACTTTGTGTCAAATCAATGAAATCGAAAATGTTGAATTTGAAATCTCGAAAAAAAATATTCTAGCTCTCATCTCACATCTTAGAACTACAGGTTGAGATTACGAATCCTTTGAATTATTATTAGAAAATTTTTCTTGTAATAATCCAAAGCATGTTACATTCATCCTAACGCATAGTTTGTTGACAACATTGTTAGTTCTAGGCTTGTGCAAACAAATAACGCCCTTGGTTTTGGGTAGAAATTAATTGCTAACAATGTAATTTTTACATAAGAAAAGGGAGGCTGAAAGATTGTAACTTAATGATATCTTTCAAAGTTAAAAATCAAGGGTTGAAGTTCCCGTATGGACGAAATGAGCAACTTATTTTGAGATTGATAGACGTATCAATATGAGCTAGCAATACTAGCATAAAACCGAAAATGTTGAATTTGAAATGTCGAGAAAATATTCTAATGTATGGCTCTCATCTCATATCTTAGAGTTAGAGGTTGGGAGTACGAATCATTTTGAGATTAATATTTAGAAATTTTTCTGGTAATAGTGTGTTAGGTGCATTCTAATATATACTTTGTTGATAGCATTATTATTTATAGGCTTGTGCAAACAAATAAAGGCTTGATTTTTGGTTGAAATTAATTGCTAGTAGGATGTAATTTTTTCGTCTTTTAAAATAGAAGATTGATGGTTCAAGTTCCTGTAGGGCGAAGTGGGTGTGAGTGTGATACTTTCCAGTTAAAAAAAAAAAAAGGAGGAGGATCCAACCTATATATAACTGTTATATAGGAGTAGTAAAAAAGTACTTGGACTACTATTATGTTGTAAATTATATATTTTGTGGTCCATTACATGCCCTATCATGCATGTCAGTTCCAGGCCAGCATCAACTTTGTCCTCCCATCTAGAATTAGTTAAAGCTCAACTTCTAATATTTTTTTTTATATTATTCTAGAATTCCACATCCTTCTCAAGAATTATTAAATAATATGATGATTGTATAGGATAATATTAATTAAAGGCATTACTTAAAAATCAATCATACATTATTATAATTCACAAGGCATTACTTAAAATCCATGTTGACAATGATTCTAATTGACCAAGGATTAAAACAAAATGTCCGGTGCGAATAGATATCGGGTGTGTCGGTAATATTGGTATGTCTATCAATCCACATGCATACTATTCATGTATACTCACAAATTTCGCTCTCAATCAACTTGAATAGCGCATTTGATTGGTTGGGCATACTAATGAGATAGCATGCCCGACACACCCTATATCTACTCTTTCGATACACTACATTCCACAATTCATCAGAGGCGATTTTGGTTTCATTCATTTATCCAAGTGAATCATTAGTAAGTTGCCTAAAACACCCTAATTGAACCAAATAAAAATTTTCTTATTTTCTCTTAAAAAAAACGATCTTATAAGTTTGTAACTTCTTTTCATATACTTTTTCCTGTCCACTTTGAGAAGCAATAGATATCCACTTTGAGCTTTTCAAAGTGGACATCTATTTTGGAACAAAGTGGACATCTATTTTGGGACTGGATTTATAATTTCTATAGCTTTATTACAAGAGTAGAGGAATGTCCCAACTCCTAAATGATGCCTTACCTAATGTTAACTTTGGACCATTTACCAAGCAATTGTTAGCTGGGCTTATGGGCTCCATCATTTTAAAAAATGTTTATTGGGCCAATGGGCTCACCAAAAAAGCAGGCCTAATCTGTACTGTATAGTACTTTTGGGCTTTAATGTTTCACTCAATTGACTGGGCTCATGGGCTTCGTCATCATCAGCTTTTATTCCTCAATGTTTTAAAAATTGAACGGCAAGTGGAATTGTAATCAATAAGGGCCATCCAAGTAAATGTGTCAGTTTTACGTGGAAACCAAATTTTTATTTCAAATTTTTATTTACACTAAAATTTTATTAAACTAGTAAAAATCGAGGTGGATAGTACCTTGTGTAATGCTTCATCACTTAGAATTAAATAACACGTACTGCTTAGGGGCAAATAAATAAATAAATATGACTAATAAAGTATTTTATTTTATGTTCATATGTAAAATATTTTCAAAAAAATGTATAACTAATTTATTTTATAATATAACTCTAGGAAAAAGAAAAAAAAAAAAAAAAAAGAAGAAGAATTTTGAATGAATTGATAATTTAGAGAAATTTTGTGAATTTAGTTTATTTAGAAAATTAATATAATACGTGATATTATACTCCCGATCTGTTTTTTTTTTTTTTTTTTTTTCTAAGAACAATTTATTTGCATATTTATCTTTATCTAGTGTTAATCTAAGTCATATAGGGCGGATGCGGAAGCAAAAGAGCGCAAGAGCACGAACGCTCGAAGTGTAAGAACAGCACTTGTTTAGAAAAATTATGTGACTTAGGTGCTAACTAGATACGAATTCTCTCCCCTTCAATTTCAGCCCCCATTACGGCTTTTTTATCTTTTCTAATCTAACGAGATAGTTTTTTTTTATTTATCTACAATATATGTATTGATAGTTATATACCATATATCATATATAGTTTGGAAGAATGGTTTAGAATGATACATATAGAATACACTCGTATATAGTTGGGAATAATGGTTTATAATGATGATATATTTAATACATAATAATTGTTGTTAATGCTGCGTTTTGACGTGCAGGAATAAAATAGAATACAAGTGAGAATGAAATGATCGTTCTTGTTATATTGTTTGATTACAAATATGAAACGTGTAGGAATGTAATTAATAATAATCATTATAATGTTTGGTTGAATCAATTTAAAATTTAGAATAAATTAATTTCAAATTAAATTATTCAAAATACCCCTCTTAATGATAAATAAATTAAATTAACAAAATTACATTCTTCTATAATTTTTTTAAAAGAAACGATGATGGTGAAAGATGGTGGTGACAATGGTGGTGGTGGTGGAGGTGGAGGTGGATGTGGAAAGCGATAGTGGTGTAAGTGGTGAGGTTGGAAGACGGTAGCGGGAGACGGCAGTAATGTTGGTAAAAAGGCAAAGGAGGTGATGATGGTGGTGGTGGTAGAAGGCGACGGTGATGGCGATAACGGTAGTGGTGGAAGTGAAAGGCGGTGACAGTTCTGGAGGTGATGATGGTGGTGGTAGTGGTGGTGGTGAAGAGAACGACAACAGTGGTTGTAATGGTGACGGGGATGGTGGTAATGACAGAAGTGGAAGACAATGGAGGTGGTAGTGATCGAATGTGGTTTTGATGGAAGTTGGTGGTGGTGGCAGTGACAGAAGGCAGTGGAGGTGGCGACATTGTGGTGGTTGAATGTGACAACAATGGTGACGATTGTAGTGACAATGGTGAAAGGCAATTGAGGTGGCAGTGGTTGTGGTGGAAGGTGGTGGTGGTGGTGGAGGTGGAAGGCAGTGGTGGTGGTAGTGACGGTTTTTAGACTTAGAACATGAGGTTTTTTTTTTGGGAATTTGATTTTTTTTTTTTAAAAAATTTATTTGGGAATGGAATGAACATTCTATATATTTTGTTTTTCCCTTTAGAGCATGTGTATCAGTTCCACAATACAAGCACTATTCAAGTCAGGAATACGGTCGAAAGTTAAATGTGAAAGACTTACCTCTCGGATCTCTGCCAACACATCTACGTCCCTTAGGGCTATTTTATATGTTTAGTTGTAGAATTATTTTTATTCTCAAAAATAAATTTTTATTTCAATAAAATAATTTTGTCACTTTAAATTGCATACAAAATTGAGAAATGATGGGATATTTCATTTCTTTTCATTTCATTTTTTTCACACCAAAGGCAGAGTTATTTCCGTTAGGTTCATAAACGGAATGTACAAACGTGCACCCGGATCCAAAACAGGATCCAAAGCAAGTTGTGGCCGCCGCTAAACGCGATTCAGTAATTCAACTTCACAGCACGCTCTGATTACCATATTACGCCAAGTTCGATTAGGGTTTTACATCCCTTCGTTGTCTGTGGATTCATACGTGTTTCATACCGTTAACACACCCAAGCTTCGATCAAGAATCGACTCTTCTCAAAACTCGCTCTTAGCTATTCTCTCTGAAAGAAATTACATTTTCACATCGAGAAATGCCTTTCTCTGGTATACAAAACTGAACGAAGATGGCATTTTGGTGTCGAATCAAGCAGTCGAACCTCAAAAGCTTATCAAACCAATTCAAGAGACGTTATTCTCAAATTCCAGGACCTTGTTCGGTCAATCACGCTGCTGGGCACACCAGAATTCGCGTACTCGATAAACCATGTTTGATTATTCACAACAACCCATTCGTGCCTCGTAACAATGTGAGGTTCTTCGCCGCACCTGTCCAGGTAATTACGAAAGCCTCAAAACCCAAATCGAGTTTTACAATGTCATACATGTGTGTGTGTTTGGGTGTGTGATGGTTTTGAGTAATGGGTTTTTGTTAATGGCATGATTGGTGTTCAGTTCACCTCAAGGAGGAAGGAAGACTCAAGTGGGCCACGATTGAATGAGAAAATTACAGCTGAGGTCGTTAGGCTTGTGACTGATGAAGGTATGTGCATGTCATTATTGTTTTGGTTCAAATGTTTGTGAAATTTTCAAGGGTTTAATGTTTGTTTAATGGTAGTGTGTATGTGCGTTGTTAATTGTTAGATAGTTTTGGAAAAAAATGGTACTTTATTTATGAACTGTATAATGTGAGTTTAGTGGGATTTGCTCTAAATAGTGGCTCCTGGCAAGAAAATAGCGTGTATGAATTTTGGAATATAGACAACGCAATTCAGTACATATTCGAATTGTATGGTATTAGAGTTTTATGTGGATGACAGCGTATTGGGAAGAAGGCATCTCATTGTTTCATAGATGGTGAAGGGGTAGAGTGAACTCTTATTATCGTATTCTTGAATGTGTGCTTATTTTCAGGGCATTTTATAGTGTCAAGGCGCGAAGCACTTGAACGTGCAAAGAGACTCGAGCTTGATTTAGTTGAGGTAATTTTTTATTTTTTCAATGTGAAATTATTTGTATTTGAGAACTTTTGAAAATTTAGTTGCTGGACAAAAATGCCTTCGCCCCTCCCTTCCCCCAAAAAAGGGTTCACTCTTTGTTTGTGTTTTTTTTTTGGTTTCATCTTTTCAGATGTTTTGACTTCTTTATTTTTTTAAAAAGAAAAGAAAACTCTTAAGCCGTTAAATTTTTTTATGTTTGTTTGATTGTTTATTTTAGTTTTAGAAATATAGTGTAGAGAATAGAAATTGCTGTTACTCTATAGATTGTCACAATTCTTATTGCCATTTTAGAAATCTAGTAGTGTAGGGAATAGAAATTGGTGTTACTCTATAGATTGTTACAGTGCTTATTGCCATCTTATTGTGAAATTTTTACAAGTGAAATTAAATATGTATTATTTTGTTATCGAATCACTTGATCAGTGGATATTCATATTCATGACAGTGACTAAATTTGCAAAAGATTTGCTTACACATTTTTTAAAACAATTACCAAGATCAGCATTGCTGATTACACGATTATCGACTGATTGTTAACCTAGTATACAGGAGGAAAAAAGAAAAAGAAGAGAGAGAGAGAGAGAGAGGAGCGAATGAGAAGATCAAAGGGTACCGTACCCTTTTCTTGATGAAAACTGAGCCTTGTAGAGTGGATGTGAAGTGGAAAATCTGTTGTTCTTCACTCACTATATATTTCTCCAAGGGCAAAGCCACTTCACAAAAGAAAGATGCCCTTGATTGTTTGCTAAAGATAAAGAGATGGCCTCCTTACTTTCTTCGTATCTCCTTCCAAATTCACCTAGATGATAGTGACTTGGTTGGCTATGTTGTGGGAGGCTCAGCTCGACGCTGGGGATGAACGGGCTTTGCGCTCTACTTTATAATTGTTTGACCCTGTTTTTTGCATTTTGAGTGGTTGTTTGACCTTCTTTTTTGCATTTCAATTACAATACATTAATGGATTCAATATATGAAAAATGTGGGAAATACTAATTTTTCCAACTGGAGCTCAGTGAATTCTTTCATTTTATATTAAACAGGTTCAACGAACTGCTAAGCCGCCAGTCTGCAAACTAATGGACTACCATAAAGAAAGGTACAAACAAAAACAAATAGTAAAGGAAAAAGTGCGTGCTAAAAGCAAGGTGGGTTCCTCTTGGATGTATGTCTCTGTGTTCTAGCTTGTTGAGATTAAATCATTTGATGAGATTCTTTGGCTGGTGGTAGCAATTTTGATATTGTGTTATGTTTCTACGGTTTGTTGCTATTTCCATTGCGTAAATAATTGATAATTCTCATTTTTGTTCTGTTTAATCTTTTTTGTGTCATGTGTATATTGCATATGAATTCACCAGAAATGTGCTATCAACTTTCTGACCTTAAAGTGGATAATGATCTTTGGGCCTTCCATTTTACTGTTCTAAATTTTATCTGGTAGATGTTATGAGTGTGCTTCTCAAGCCAGTAGATAGTTAAGTAAGTTTTGTGACATTGCATTATCCAGGATGCTGGCTGACAAATAGTTTTGTAGAGCGAAGGCTAAATTGTGCACTGCTTTTTGCATCAGTATATTACTGGAGTTAATGGGAATCGTTTGCTGATGTGGGACAACAATAGTAGTGACGCTTCTATTTATAAAAAGGGCTTGGTGTATATCTAGGTTGATTGTGAAGATCATGTATTTAGGTAAAAGTTGAAAGACCAAAGGCTTAAAAAACTATTTGACTTTTTTATTGGTCGAGTAAGGGTCATTACTTAGTGTGATCCTTGTTAATCAAGGGTGGTGGGAGGGTGGACTGGATACAAACCTAACATATAACATTTTTTATACAAAGTGGTGTTCTCAAGATTGGAACCAAAATTTTCATGCTTATAGCCCCAACTTTTACCACTGCACCAGTCCATGTTCTCATTATTTGGTAAAACAATGTTTTTTATACCCAACCATATGACATTCTTCTAGAATTATTTCTCCTATACTATGGCAATTTCTGCATTTGGCCCCAGAGTTTTGAAAGCCTTCAAGGTGTAACTTATGCATGAAAGCTTGATGAAACTATCAACGTTTCACAATCTCTTGGTCTTTTAAACTTACTCGCTTTTATTTGGGTATGCTAAAGAGTATTTTTGGCACATTTTTACTTATAAAAAAAAAGTATTTTTGGCACATTTCAATATTATTTGTTTTGCAAAAATCATTCCCTTGTGAATACAAGTGAATGCTAACCAGGTTCCCTAGATAAATTTCCCTATCTTCATTCTACATTGAGAAGTTGTTTTGACTATATTATATATATATTTATAAGTAAAGTATGTTAGAAAGGCGCTCAAATTGGGGAGCGCATCCTGCTTAGAAGGCAAAGAGAATTGGACTTATTTGTTTGTATAATATTACCCTCTTGACTTTGGTCATGGTGAGAATTTTGGGTTCTTGAAACATTTAACAATGAAACACACCCCCCCCCCCCCCAAAAAAAAAAAAAAAAGAAAAAACATGGAACTTGTGGAACTTAAAGTTGAATGACGAAATTACTACCAAGGCTTAGTGCAGTGGTACTTCCTCCTCCTTGCCAAGATTTAAAAAAAAAATTTGTAGAATGACGAAATTTGATATAACCGGCCATAATAGTTGGTATAAGACTTGTATTACATTTTTGGTGCCAAACTCAGATTTTAAATTTCTTTATTATTGAATAAAATGTGATGAAATAAATATTTATCAAATTGTTTACATTTGACATCTTGTTCCTCAAAGTCGAAACTTTAAGTGAATAAATCTTTTTGCTTTTTTGGCTTTTAATCCTTTTACTATCAAGTCTAGAAATTGATAATTTGTTTATAATCAACCATGATTGATAGGCTTTGCCATTGGATTAATGTAGAGAGGTGCCAGGTTTAAACCTTGGTTGGGATGTGGTGTGTAAAGAGAAAATAAGGAAAGGGACTCTGGCATGGACTTCTTCTAACTTACACATATGGGTAACAACATTTGGGATTAGCTGGAGGTCATTCAAATACAAGTTTCCTTCGTTATAGACGCGGCATGGACTTCTTCTAATTTACACGTATGGGTTACAATGTTTGGGATTAGCCGGAGGTTATTCAAATACAAGTTTCGTTTGTTATAGACGCTAAAAATTTGGAGTTATGTCATGTGATTTGTGTTCTGTCAGTTCTTAGTGACCTACAGAAGTACAGATCCAATTTAGTCAAGTGTTATAAGTTCAATAAACTTGTTATGCTCTTGTGAGATGAGCAGCAATCCAACCCTCAGGTGTACTTTGCTATTGAATTCAAACCTCAGAATGTATAATTAATTTTGTGTTTCTTTTCTTCTATGCAGTCTGAAGTGACTTTAAGGACAGGAGTGTTCAAAGAAATTCGATTTACTGAAAAAATTGTAAGTTGTTTATCTGATACTCAATTATAGTTTTTTCATTCTCATGAATTAGATACTTCCTGGAGTTCATCGGTCACTAATATGGTAAAACTTAATAGAAAAATGAGAATTTTCCATGATAACAACATCATCTTGGGTAAAAGCATTATTTTATAAGGGCCTCATAGTAGCATTTTTGTTTTTTTTTTTTTTTTTTGTCATTTTTTGTTTATATTTTTTTTGCATTTCCGCAAAAAAAAGAAAAAAAAAAAAAAAAGATAAAAAATAGTAAATAAGTTGTTTTGGATCATTTATTATTTTTCAATGGGCTCAAGTGTTAAAAAATTGAAAGGAAAAAAAACTAATTCTTTTAGTAATTTCTTGAAGTGAGGGCTAAGGTTAATTATCTTGATTGACACTGAAAATATCAAATCCTAATTCTTCTACCACATGCTTTTTGATGATTGAGGTATTGCTGAAAATTTGTAATTGTCTTCTTCCTGAATCAAAAGCGGAATTGCCTGTGCTTTGTCTCTAGCTTCTGTGATGCATCATAGAATTTACAGTGTACAAACCTGCAGTTCATTCGATTCTCTAGTAAAGCTGCCTAGGATATATATATATATATATTTTGATAAGTAAGATTGTATAAAAGGCACTTAAACAACGAACACATCCCAAGAAAAGCTACACAAGGACCAACAAAAGGCCCTGAGAACCCAAGGAACCCAAAAAATCAACTAACTCTACTAAAGACTTACAATTTCTCCCATTGGCCCAACAAAAAAGAGAGTTAATAATAGAGAATTTCAGAGCCCTAACAGAAGATTTCTCTCCGTCTAAGGATCTTAAAATTCTGTTTCCTTAATAAGCACCACCAAAGACCAAACACAAAAGGGGGCCACCCTCCAAAAGTCATGGACTTGGGAGCCCACAGAACACCCTCTTCAAGTGTCAATCAAGCCTCTTGAGGACCGAGGCATGACCCACTGAACCCCAAACCACTCCAAAATCAAACCCCAACTATTTCGGACCACAGGGTCGTGCAACAAAAGATGATCTACAGACTCTTCGTCGCTCTTACACTCTTCGTCGCTCTTACACATACAACACCAAAGATTATTCCTGTGCAAATATTCCTTTTCTCTATTTCTTATGTCCTTTTGACACATCTAGAAGGTAAAGACGTCTATTCCCTGGGTAGACGTTTTTAATGTAAAATGAATGTGAATATAAGAATCTTAATAATCGTCTTTCCACGGCCAGATCTAGTGACCGACTGGAGCAGATTGCTATAATTGTTATATTTAGGTGAAACCCAAGCTACCTTCATTCGAAGGAGCCCTGAAGGAGCTGCTGAACTATATAGTGCCAACTGCCAACTATTCTAGTCTACAAGAGAAAAAGACTGAAAAATACCAACAAAATACCACTCTAACTGGGATTCAAGAACGCAAAAAGTATGCCCTTTCCACAAATAACCCAAATAAAAAAGTCCACATCTGTCAAGCATCAAAATCTCTGTCTCCTTCTCCTCAGGTTGTCCAGCATCAAAATCTTTCCTAAAATCACTGTCCAAACAAAAAAGGCCACCTTGATGGGAGCCTTTGTTCACCAAATAGTCTTCCAACGGAAGGCGGGCCTCGGAGCATTTGAAATCCGCCTATAAAGAGAGCGCACATCGAACCTCCCCTGAGAAGAGGGAACCCAGACAAGGACATCTGTACCTCCTCCATCAACCTCCTGGTGATACAGTAACAACAACAAACCTAAAAGGTCTTCCAACACCGGGTCATGAAAATGTCTCAAAAAGCGCACATCCCAAGTTGTCCTCCCGCTACCAAGCTGATAATGGTCGGCATCCAAGGCGTGTTTGTCAAGAGCAATCCTGAAGAGCCTGAGGAAAGAACATGCCAGCACACTATCACCACACCAAATGTCCTCTAAAAAATGAATGCCTCTACCATCCTGAGATCGGAATCTAATACTCCCTCCATCATAGTTTTATGGTCCATCTTTCCTTTTTTTGGCTTTCCCAAAATAGATGTCCCATATGAAAAGTTAAGATACGTTAAATGCATCTTTCCAATAATATCCTTTTGATTAGACCCAGTAACTGGTGGGGGTCTATGGCTGACCGAAATGAAAGTCTCTCTCTCGCATCCATTCTCCATTACATTGTAGGAACAGAATTATTGGTTGCGTCGATATGGAAATATTTGGTACATGAAGCTGTGATCCGATAGATATAGATTTCAAATAAGTATTTAAAATTTTCTGAACTTGATACTATATATTTGAACTTCAAAGGGTAACCTTTGAAGTTTCAAAAGGGGACAATGCATTAAATACATGTCCCCTTAAAAAGTTGTAAAACCGAAAAGGGACAATTAAAATGGGACGGAGGGAGTACTTATCAAAAAAAAAAAAAAAAAGGACGGAGGGAGTATGTTTAAAAAATTCATCCCACCCCTTTGGAATGAATTTCCAAACACCAACACCACTTGGGATCCTCACTGCAAGGAAACATCAGCCACCTCTCTCCTACCCATAACGGCATGAGATAAACCTCCTCCAAAGTCTCTGGTGCTCAGAGTTGACCTTCACAACCACTTCCCCAGAAGAGCCCTATTGAAGGGGACCAGCCTCCTGATCTCCAGACCACCCAACTGGATTGACCTGCACACTTGCTCCCAGCGGACAAGATGATACTTGAACTCCACCCCATAGAAATTCCGCGGGTGTCTGAATCCTATCAGCCACTGAGGAGGAAATCTGAAAAAGAGAAAGGAAATAGGTAGGGAGGCTCGACAATGTGCTCTTTATTATTATATTAGGGTGACCCTCCCACCCTTCGAAAGATTACTTCTTCCACCAGCAAGTCTCCTCTCAAACCTCTCAACCACATGATCCCAACCGGCTACATCCCTCAACTGCAAACCCAGGGGGCATTCCCAGGTAAGAAATGGGGAAGGAGTTAGCTCCACAACCAAATGTATAAGCCAAGGATGAAATCTACAGAGTGGAGCATAACCATAGCTTGCTCATCGTTGCCTTCGAAAGTCACTCCCAACAAGTCATTTGTAGCACCAAGGTTCTCCCTCACCCCCTACTCCCCTCGCTTTATGTCGACTGCCACAAGTGGGAGCTCCCTCAACCCTTCAGACAACACCACTGCCAAAGGATCCACCATCCCCATAATATTAGCCTCCCCTTCCTCCCAATGCCATAATATCCGGAGGACGTCCAAGTATATCATTTGGCAGTCTCTCCTCATTGTCCGAAACATACTCCTCAGATCCATCCTGGCTTGACGAAGCAACAAACACACGTCAACCAACCCCATCGTCATGTCCCCTTGCTTATCTGTAGAATTTGGAGTCAAACCAACTGTGGCAGCTCTATGTAATCTCAACTCTTTCACCAAGCTCACCGCAGTTTCATCACGGAGCTTAATGCATGTGTCATGCTCAACACACACTTATCACCTTGTTTGGAAACAGTTTGTGTTGAGGGATGCCTTTTGGGCTGTGCTAAATTATTCCATTCAGGAACATCTAAAGAACCTTGTTTGGAAAACCTGGAACCAAGCCATTCTGGTTCCAAACTGACAATCGGTAGAATTTGGAGTCAAGCCAACTGTGGCAGCTCTATGTAATCTCTACTCTTTCACCAAGATCACCGCAGTTTCATCACGGAGCTTAATGCACGTGTCATGCCTAACACACACTTATCACCTCCTCATAGGATGATCAAACAGTTTGTGTTGAGGGATGCCTTTTGAGCTGTGCTAAATTAATACATTCAGGAACAACTAAAGAACCTTGTTTGGAAAACCTGGAACTGAGCCATTCTGGTTCCAAACTGACAATTGTTGTTTATTAAGGCAGATTTAAACCTTAACAGGCTCGAATTTGCAAGCAATTCCGAATATACCCAACCAAGTAGCATAGATGCAGGACATGGGCAAAATACGACATGGATATGTCGACACGTTAAATTAAAAAAAAAAAATTGGACACGGATATGGCATTAACACGATCATATACAAGTATAAAATTTAGGGTAAAGTGCAATAAACCCCCCTCAACTATATCCCAATGAGCACAAAACACCCCTGAATTTCTAAAGTAGCAGAAAACCCCCCCAAACTATGTTGTTTGGTTGCAGTTTACCCAATCCGGCGACCGTCCAATCAGTTTTTATAACCTGCCTTGCACGTGAGAGCCCATATTTATCTAAATGACTATACAACCCTAATTAAATGTAAGAGGCCATAATGCCATTGAAAGACTGTTAGTAACCAAACAAGCCCTAACGCATAAGTTCCCCTAATTCACTCATTGCCCTTCTTCCTCCATCGATCTGTGGTGGTGCTCCTTCAATATCACAGTGTATCGCATTATCAAACTGCATATGGGAAAAATAAAACGATGTCAACCCCACAGATCAATACTCTTATCAAACTGCATATGAGATTGATGATGATGGTGGTTGTGGCAGTGGGTTGGTTTCAATTGGGTTTGACGGTTTGTGGTGTGTGGGTTTGTGGTTTCAATTGGGTTTGATGGTGTTTGGTAGAGGAAAACAATCATAATTTTATCAACATTGAAGCTTATCACCAAAGCTCAATTACAACAGCAAGAAGAAAACAGAGTCCACCTTGAGAACCATTTTCATGATTATATTTGTTATAAAATAAAAATTAATTGATTTGGGGTTTAGAGATTTTAATGATTAACTCAACTTAAAAAGGCCTTTCTCGAAAAAACACTATCCTTCCCACATCATCGGACCAAGTTTGCGATTGTCAAAGCTCTGTCTCTTCGGCCAAATTCTCGTAAAAAACTCTGCCTCTGGCCAAATTCTCGCACCAATAAATCTGATTATTATATTCGACCCAAAAATGAACTTCAACCATAAAACACTATTCGTCAGAAACTCCATGGTCGCGTGGTGTGGAGTTGTTAAACTTGCCGAACTTGCTCTGGAATGACGACGACGATGCTGGAGAGATTAGA